CCCAGCAGGAATTCTTTTAGGTGTTGACAAGCTGATTCTAAAATTAATATGGAAAGGCAAGGAACTAGAATAGTTACAACAATTTTGATAAACAAGTACAACGGTGAAGAATTCATGTTAAGTGTTTTCCAGACTTTTCTAAAGGTACAGTAATTAAGATATGCATGGTATCGGCAACAAGATAGATGCACAGATCAGTGGAACAGAATGGAGTTCAGAAATAGACACAAATAGAAATGGTCAAGTGATTTGAAAAAGAAAAAAAGTGCAATGGCAATTCAGTTTAGAACAGATGGTCTTTTCAACAAAAGGTACTGGAACAATCAGATATGTGTATTCAAAAAAAAAGAACTTTGACTTAACTCTCATACAAAATTTAACTCAAAATAGATTATAGACCTAAAAGTAAAACACAAAACTGTAAAACTTCTAGAAGAAAACAGATGAGAAAATCTTTTTGATTTTTGGTTATGCAAAGAGTTCTTGGCTATAACAACAAAAGTGTGATCCATTAAAAAAATCAATAAATTAGACATCATAAAAATTAAAATATTTTGCTCCATGAAAGACACTGTTAAGAGAATGAAAAGATAGTCCACAGAGTGGCAGAGAATATTTTCCAATCACTTATGTCACAAACGACTTGTATCTAAAATTTGTAAAGCTCTCTCAAAACTCAACAAGATAAAACCCAAATAAAAAATGGACTAAAGATTTGAACAGACATTTCACCAAAGAAGACAGATGTGTGGAAAGTAAGCACGTGAAAAGATGTTCAACATCATTAATAATTAGGGAAATGGAAATTAAAGTCATAATCTGATACCCCCAATACGCCTATTTGAATGGCTAAAAACCAACCAAAGAAATCTGTGATAGTACCAACTGCTGGTGAGGATGATGCACGAAGAGAAACTCATATATTGTTGGTGAGAATACAAAATGGTAAAACCATTTGGGCACTTTGTCAGTTTCTTGTAAAGTGAGTACCTTATTCTTTATGCCTGAATTTTTTTAATTTAAAAAGAGAAAAAACACATCATAAGCAAATCTATTCAGAGCTTGATTTCTAGAAAGTGATTCCAATGTTAACACTACTTAGCCCCAATTAATTTCATGAAACCAGTGTAATCTTAATACCAAATCCTTATATCGTGCAAAAAAAGAAAACTATAATTTAATCTCACATGTGAATGTAGATGACCATATGACCCATCAATCCTACTTGAAATATTTATTCAAGAAAACCTATGTTCTGGGCCAGCCCTGGTTGCCTAGTGGTTAAGTTTGGTGTGTTCTGCTTCAGTGGCCCAGGTTTGGTTTCTGGGTGCAGACCTACACCGCTCATCTGTTAGCGGCCATGCCATGATGGCGGCATACATAAAAGAAAAAAAGAGGAAGATTTGTATTGGATGTTAGCTCAGGGTGAGTCTTTCTCAGCAAAAAAAAGAAGAGGGGCTGGCCCGTGGCCCAGTGGTTAAGTTCGTGTGCTGTGCTTTGGTGGCACAGGGTTTTGCTGATTCGGATCCTGGGCGCGGACATGGTACCACTTGTCAGGCCATGCTGGAGCGGTGTCCCACATGCCACAACTAGAAGGACCCACAACTAAAATATACAACTATATACTGGGGGGATATGGGGAGAAAAAAGCAGGGAAAAAAAAAAGATTGGCAACGGTTGTTAGCTCAGATGCCAATCTTTAAAAAAAAAAAGAAAGAAAGAAAGGAAACCTATGTTCACGCAAATACCTGTACATGAATATTTATAGTAGCTTTATTTGTAATCACCCAAAACTGGAACCCACCCAACTGTCCTTCATCCAGAGAATGGATAAGCAGACTGTGGTATATCCATAGATGGAATACTATTCAACAATTAAAAGCAACAAACTCTTGATACTTGCAGCAATATAGATCAATGTAAAAGACGTTATGTTAAGTGAAAGATGCCAGACTCAAAAGGCTGTATATACTTTCTTCCCATTTATAGGACTTTCTTGGAAAGGTAAAATTATAGGAATAATAAGTAGATCAGTGGCTTCCAACTTTAAGGGTGAGGAGAGGGTTTGATTATAAAGGGATGGTGCAAGGGAGTTTTTTGGGGGGGAATGATAGAACTCTTTTGTATTTTAATTGTGGCAGTAGTTGCATGACCTTATACATTTGTTGAAACTCCTGGAACTGTACACCAAAAAGTCATTCTTACTAAATGTAAATTTTGAAATAAATATGTGTTTCAGGAACAAAGAAGCTGAGGGAATATCAGCTCTTTCTCTTCATACCCGCCCCCCACACAGAAAAAATCTTACTGAAACTCTGGACAAATGGAAAGATATAAACCATGTTCTTAGATGGCTTTTAGATGCCAGTTTTCTCTAAATTTATATATAAATATATATATATATATATAATTCCAGTTAAGATTAAAAGAGATTCTCTTTTATTTTAATTGGAAAAATGATCTTAATGTTTGTATGTAATATAAATAGATGAGAATAGCCAAGAAAATAATGAAGAATAGGAAGTGACTTGCCTTATCAATTATTAAACATACTGGAAGCCACTGCCATAGGAATAGAGAGATTGGTGGAAGGAAGCAGAACTCAGTATAGCTGGAAACTTAATATAAAACAAACACGTTCTTCAAGTCAGTGAGAAAAGAATAGTTTAAGTGGTGCTAGCACAATTGGTTAACCATCTAGATGAAAATAGTGCATGTACAGAAATGAATTCCAGATGGATTAAAAATTTAAATATAAAAGATAAAGTCTTAGTAGACTAAAATTTAGATATTCATATAATAGATATTCAATAAAGTAAAAGACATTGCTGAATGACTATGGAGTATACCAAATGATCATTATCTGAAGAAAAGACTCTTCCATGCCAGTCATCTCCCCTTAATTCTCCAGATGAAACTGCAGTAACTCATTTGTGTACCCGTTGAGTCCTTTCCCTATGTATTTAAATATGTACTAGAAAATGTAGCATTGTTAAGCATGGTTCCTTTTTATGTGCAAAGTATCATGTTGTAAATTTTTTAATATTTTACTCAACAGTGTGTCTTAGAGTTCTATCCAGATTAGTACACATAAATCTATCTCATTCTTTTAACTGTTATTTGTTTATAACCAAGTTTAGCATACTGTCACCCATTTGATTCTGGGCAGTTTACTTAACCATCCTAACGTCAGTTTCTTTATTTGCAAAATAGGGATAACAGTAGTAATGCCTATCTTAAAGGGTTGTTGTGGGGACTAAATGTGTTAATATATATAAAAATTTTAAAACAGTGCCTGGCATATAATAACCTTTGTTATTGACATTTTGGTTGTTGCCTGGCATATAATAAACTTTGTTATTGACATTTTGGTTGTTTCTGATTATTCACAATTAGAAACTGTGCTACATTTAATATCCTTTTACATATTTCCTTATACATATCAAGGAATAATGTGAAGAAAGTAACCAAAAATAAAATTACCAGAGTTCTAGTGTGCTGCTTTATTAGGGTTATTATGAAGTCTTAACAAAAAAACTCCTTAATGGAAGTCTTTTGCTTCTATTAAATTACCATTTCTTCTACTCTCTTGAGTTGCATAAAAATATATTTCTATAAGATATATGTTTTTTAACTTTAGAAAATCTTTTGTTTGAACCTTCTCATATTTCTATCACTACTATCGATTATTTGTATATTTCTTTTGTCATTTTGGTGGGATTGAGGAATGGAGGGGGATTAATTTAATATGTTGTCAGCCATCATGAAATGGAAATCATACCTAAATTTTTAACTAGCATACTTGATTGTTTCTCTATCAACATCAAAACATAAAATAGTTCTATCACTCCCTTTTCTCCTGCTCCCCCTTGCACAAGACAAAAATTGTTTTTATTCTTCTTTCTCTATTAGATTTTAAAGAAATATTCTGGAATTTTCATTCCAGACTGTTCTTTTTGCATTATGTATCTTCTGATTACTGTTCAGAAGATTCATTCAATTTCACTAACTACATTAGCCACGATTACTTAGGTTTAACACTAAGTAGGCATTATTGGAAATTTCTTACTATATCTTGTATGCCACACTCTCCTTTTCTACCACGTTTATTTGGCCACATTTTCATTGCAATTCTTTTAGTAATAGTTTCAGAAAGGGTGGTATACTTTCTGTGTTCTTGTTTTCGTGGAAATGTGTGTATCTTTCCCTTATAAACTTGATTGATAGCTTGTCTGGGTTCAGACTTTTAGGGTTCTTAATCCTCCTTCAGAATTCTGTAAACATTGCTCCTTTGACTTCCAGCGTTTGATGTAGTAGATTAGAGGTCCAAAGCCTGTTTGAAGGTCTTTTACTGGTTGGTAACTTTATGTTTCTGTCTGGAAATATGTGTGGCAGTTTAGATATTTAACCAGAATAAATGTCTAAGTGTCTAACATTTTGGTTATTCCTGCCCTGACATTATAGGTCCTTTAGATGTGGAAATTCAGGGATTTCTTAGGAAAACCCGCCTATTATCTGTTTTATTACTTTTTCTCATTTTGAGAATTGTTTTTCTTTGCCAGCTAAGGAAATTTTATTCTTTATTTTTCTAGTTTTTTGAGATATAGTTAACATATAACAAGGTATAAGTTTAAGGTGTACAACATAATGATTTGGTATATATATATATATATATATATATATATTGCAAAATAATTATCACATAAAAATTTAGTTCAATCCAAGATACTGCTTTTCAAGGTATTTGATTTATTATGCAGATAGGTTTATAACAAAGTTTAAAATGTAACAGCTGCTGCATTGCCGTATGGGAGAAGTCAAAGTAACCAACTGACAAAGGATATCAGTGATTATATAGGTCCTGAGAAAAGAATTCTCAGGTGAAAATGCATGTGTACATACATACTAAATACAATAAAATAAAGCACTCATTTGCATGGTGTTAGAAATGTGCATGAGAATTTTTAGACTTTAATTTGGAACTTGTTCCTCCATTTCAGGACCGGAAATTAACCAAAGCTGAGCAGCAAAGGTTCAAGGAAGAAGCAGAGATGTTAAAGGGTCTCCAACATCCCAATATAGTTCGATTTTATGATTCCTGGGAGTCTATATTAAAAGGAAAGAAATGTATTGTATTAGTGACTGAACTTATGACATCAGGAACCTTAAAGACGTAAGTTGATCCTGATAGTGCCAATGGAGTTTTATTTGGAAATAATTTTCAGGAGTCATAAAAGTTGTTTGTACAATAACACTACTTGATTAAAGGATTTATGGAATCTGTATCTAGTGACTATGTTTTACGGCAGGTTAAAAAATTAGGATGTTAATGAAGTTCGTTAAAAAATACGATGTTGAGAAATTAATATTTATGGAGTATCATAGAATTTTAGAATTAGAAATCATTATAGAGATAATATAGTGTCATTTTGTAAAAGATAATGAAAGGCTGGGGATGTGGCCAGGTTTACAGATCTAATGAGCTATACTATGTAATTCTAGTCTATTGTTTTGTTTCTGACTACAGTTTTTCATTTGGTGGTATAATCACTTATTTGTAGCTATTAAATGTGGGGTATACTTTTTCTGTTTCCTAGCATTTTTGCACTAAAATTTTATATAGTTAAAACCTCTGGTGACTCTATATAAGTAGTTATTAGGAAGTGGAGAAGGACTTTCTAAAATTGTGCTGCCATTCCACAAAAGGCCACTCTGAGTGGAATGATTCTTGTTTTGATTAAAAATGCTAAACTTGGTAGGATGTCTTCTCTAAGAATGAGGCCTTAGATTTAAAATTTGCTGTAACAGATAATAGAAAACACCTTAATGATGGCAATTGTAGTACATACAATATCAGCTAGCTTCCGTGATTTACCCTGATAGTGCTCATACATTAAGCTAGGTGTGTTTGTTTACATGTGGTCTTTTGTTTCTTTGCGTAGGTACTTAAAACGATTTAAAGTCATGAAACCAAAGGTCTTAAGGAGCTGGTGCAGGCAAATTTTAAAGGGATTGCAGTTCTTGCACACTAGGACTCCTCCTATTATTCACCGGGATCTGAAGTGTGACAATATTTTCATCACGGGACCCACTGGATCTGTGAAGATTGGTGATCTAGGACTAGCCACCTTAATGCGCACATCATTTGCTAAGAGTGTCATTGGTGATTAACATTTTATAGTTTGTTGGTTGGGTAAAGAGAGACTTGTTAATTGTATGTCTAGAACAGGGATCAGCAAACTATGGCCCATGGGCCAAATCTGGTCCTGCTGCCTATTTTTGTAAATAAAGTTTTATTGGAACACAGCCACACCTGTTTGTTCATGTATTGTCTATGGCTACTTTTGCATTGTAAGGGTAGAATCGAGTAGTTGTGACTGAGACCATATGGACTGCAAAGCCTGAAATATTTACTATCTGGCCCTTTACAGAGAAGTTTGCTGGCTCCTGACCTAGAATGTGAATTTTCTTTGAAATATCTATTGTATATTGACTTATTTTGGAGGCATCCTAGTGCATTTCTTTTGTGGGATATATTTAAGATTATGGAAAGGTTCTCAGGATTTAAGAAAAAGGGTTTACTAATTCAGAAAAATTTGAATAACTAAAAATAAGGATAGAAATAAAAATAGATTTTAATATTCATTACCTAATCTTGAGCATTACAAATTGTACTTTAACAGTACAGAAAGTTAAGGAAATTCTTTTATGTGCTTTATATAGATACAAGTATTCAACTAATTTTATATTTATAAATTTGCTTTTAGGAAGCAGAAATTAACTCAGGTAATCCTTATGTCAAAGAGAATGTGATCTTGGTGGATAAAATTTTCTTTTTAATAAAAATGTGGTTATGGTGTTATTTTGTAGGGACTCCTGAGTTTATGGCCCCAGAGATGTATGAAGAACACTATGATGAATCTGTGGATGTCTATGCTTTTGGAATGTGTATGTTGGAAATGGCTACTTCGGAGTACCCTTATTCTGAGTGTCAGAACGCAGCTCAAATATACCGTAAAGTAACTAGTGTAAGTATAACTTTATTCTTTTTACTTCATAAATTGCCACATTTCATGTTGAAGTTAGTAAAGTCAACTTAGTCAAACCTAATTTTGGTTTAGTTCTGTATAACAGTGCTAAATTTAACATATCTGTAATGAAACAAGCTTTATATTTATGCTATATACCTATACTCTATTGGGGGTCATATAAAATGCTCTGTATTAGTCTCTTTGGGAAAATGTCCAGATATGATCTATATCCATTTGTTTGTAAAGAATTTTTAGATATTAGGTGGATTTTTTTTCCAAAGCTGAATAATAAAGATTGGCTAAATGGTTTTGAAGGTTTCTGCTAATTCTAAAAGCCTTATTATGAAAGGACATTCAAAATATACTTCAACAGATACAGTATTTGATTCCCTGCTATGAGTAGTTTTTTGTGTTAGAAATTGCAAGGAGTGAAAAGATGAGTAAGAAGTATTTGCTACTGATAAAGAGTTTACATTTTTAGTACGGCAATAATATAAGTTCACAATTAACTATAAAAATAAGAGGATGGGAGTATAGTAAGTGACAAAAGGGAGGTGGAAGCGAAGTATTAGGATTGTTCAAGAGAGGTCTGCTTCATATCCAGTTGGGTAGCTCAAGATAGGCCATGAAAGAGATTGTTAGAGTGTTTCAGGTAACTAATACTAATAGATACCATTTTAAAATGAATGCTGTATGCCACGTGTTTTCATCTTTATATCCGTCCAAGTTGGTGCTATCTCCAGTTTACACATGATGAGACTTAGAATCAGAGGTTGAGACTTGTTCAACTTCACACAACTACTAATAATGGTGGATTTTGACCCCAAGTCTATCTGGCTCTAGGTGTTTGTGTAGGGAGACAATAAGAAATAAGGCCAATATTCAGAACGTGGGACATTCTGTAGGACAAATGACTTAGTTTCTCCAACAAATCAATTTCATGAAAGAAAAAAGGTGGAGGGACTTGTTATAGAATACAAGAGACCTAAAAGTAGTGGTGAGCTGGTAAATGTTTAACAACTGATTCTCGGAAAATGTGTTGATTTCTAGCATTTGCTGATTTCCTTGGTGTAAATACTCCCACTGTGGCTGATTTCAGGTCACCAGTGTGACCTCACTGAATGCAGAGTTGGGAAGGGATGCACAGTGGCACTCATTATATAGTATTTCCACCATACAGATACAGTAGATGTAAACAACCTTAAGAGCATATATAATGGTGAAATAATTAGGGAGTGGTGTTTTCAGTATTTATTACCTTGGCTTTTAATATAATTTATTTAATTATAAGTTTATATAATTTATTTTTTTTAATGGCTAAGTTTAACAATCAGCTTGCAAAATTCCTGAAAATGTAATAGTTGGCTCTTATGAACCGATATGAGCCAGCTCTAATGCACCGTACAAGTAACGTCTGGATGTTATTTGCATCCTAATTGGAACAAAGCAACTAAAGAAGATATCATTTAGACAACTTGGAAAATTTGAGTGTGGACTGGATTTTAGATGATGTTAAGGAATTAATTATTTTAGGTGGGATGATGACATGATATTTGTTAGAGATATAAACTGGAGAATTTATGGGTGAAATGACATGATGTGTAGGATTTGCTTTAAAATATTCCAGGATAAAAATGGTGTGGGGGTAGATACCTGAAATGAGATTGACAAAATGTTGCTTGTTGTTGAAGTTGGTGATGGTTATGTAGGGTTTCTTATGCTATTTTACTTTTGAGTATGTGTGAAAATTTGTATAACAAAGAGCTGAGGAAAGAGATAAGGCTAGAATGTCTTTTTAGTTTGGGTTCATGTTGGATGCCCATAAATAGAAGAGTTTATACTTGGTTTTGTAAGTTGCACCTCCTCAATTATTTTCACCTAGGAGCAGAGAACGGCAATACTTACCCAAGGCTTGAGAATGGGTAAGAGATCAGTGGAAAGGTCTAGGAGGGCTTCTTCTATAAGTAGAATAACATAACTCCATTTTTTGAATGGTGACTATTATTTTATATTAAAGTCACAAAAATGCCATATCACAATTCAGATTTCCATCTATGTTAAAGTTTCTTGAATTTGGGATCCAAGTTAACTCCTAATCTCACCAGTTTTATCTAGTATATGATACTGGGCTGATTCTGCATCCTGTGAGGTAGTGTGACGGACACAGAACTAGTCTTGGATTGCCTCATTCCATGACAATTGTTCTATTATACCTTTTCTGCTTTTAGCTTAGTTTGGAATTTTCTGTTAAATAACTGCAATACTCTTACTTGGATTATTGTTTTAATTCCAAAACTTGTAAATTAAGGGTAATAGAATGTAAAATAAGCAGATTCAGGCAGCTAACACAGTTATTATAGGGACGTTTTGTCTGAACCTCATAAATTTGTTACTGAATTCCTAGAACTTGACAATTAGCTTGAGGTTCTCTGAATATTTTAGTATTGCTTAAGAAAAAAAACCTGATTTCTCAAAAGTGTATATATATATATGTGTGTATACATATATTTTTTTCATACATACATCTATATTGATTGTTCATTGCTTCTAGCCATTCTAGAAGACTTTGAAATAATATTGATTTGGAATGTTTGTGATAGAGAAGTGCTTATTTGGAATTTTCAAAAGTACTTTTTAATAACATTTTTTTTTCTGATTCCAACAAATGCTTGCATATTATATTTTGCTAATTGGGGTTATACTCTATGTATGTTTTGGGTTCCTGTTTTTTTCCCTACTTAATGTTACAGTATAAGAATTCTCCATGTTATTAATTTCTTTGAGAACATTTTTAGTTTATGCATAATATAAGCACATATATATCAAATAATTTATGTAACTTTGCTTCTGTTGTTGGAGATTTAGATTGTTTGCAATTTTTCACTGTTACTTGTAGAGCTATGATAAAATCCTTGTCAAAAGAGTCGTTATACTATATGTATATGTTTATCTCGTGTAAAACTTGAATGTGGGTTAGTGGTAAAAATCATTATTTTAATGTGTCATGTTGACTTGGGCTTTCAGTTGCTTAATTTGTGACTAGAAACTATTTTCTTCTCCCAGGGCATAAAACCAGCCAGTTTCAATAAAGTCACCGATCCTGAAGTGAAAGAAATCATTGAAGGATGTATTCGTCAAAACAAATCTGAAAGGTGTGTGTAAATGTAATGAAATGACATAACTGATGGATGCATTTTTCTCCTATCTTGCACCAGGTCATTTTCTGACCTTTGAATCATACTGGGTATGACTTTTGAGTGGAAGCCAAACCATATTGTCTAGAGTGAAGTGTATCAGTGCATCTTGTTTGCCATTTTAGACTTTGATATCACATGTTGAATTTTCCTTTAACTGACATTTGGGTTGTGCTTGTCTGTGTCTGTTGTGACAAGCTTTCATAACCTTCAGCCATCAGTTTAACAGTCAGTGGAACCTTCCCCACCCCTGGTTAATTTGCTTCTAACAGTTGATAGTAGAGAGCTTCTGCAGTGTCACCTTCAGGTAAGTATACTTAAATGGTTTTTTATGATAGCTAAAAAAAAACTTAACCATCAACTCACCAAATGTTTTTTATTTGACCATATGTCCTTGTGTCATGATAATGGTAAAGCTGATGGGGCTATTTTTGTTCAAGAAATAGCGTTCTAGATTTATTTGTATCACAGTTCATATTTTTCTTATGGACAACTCCCTTTAGTTTTAGCTTATTTCCCTTTAGTTTGAGCTTTGGGCAGTTGCTGACTTAAATTGGTAGGTTAGTCTTTTGATTTTTACCTCCTTATTGATTATGCTTAATATAAGTGATATGTCCTTTATAGAAATTATTTCCACCAGCATTTCATTGATTTCATTTTTATTAGTTTTCTAAGTTTAGTGTTGCATATCTGAGAATATATAAAGCCACTAAGGTAAAGCCTGTTTAATTACAGCTTTATTACAGAACATTCTTAGTGTTTGTACCAACAGGCTATATCTAGGAATATATTTTTTTAAATTATGGTAAAATATACATAACCTAAGAGTTACCATTTTAATCATTTTAAGTGTACAATTCAGTGGCGCTGAATACATTCACATTGTTGTACAACCATCACCACTATCTGTTTCCAGAACTTTTGCATCATCCTAAACAGAAACTCTGTAGTCATTAAACAATAACTTCCCACTCCTTCTTCCCTCAACCCCTCGTAACCTCTATTCTACCTTCTGTCCCTATGAATTTGCCTATTCTAGGTACCTCGTATAAATGGAATCATACAATATTTGTTCTTTTGTGTCTGGCTTATTTCACTTAGCACAGTGTTTTCAAGGTTGATCCACATTGTTGCATGTATCAGAATTTCCTTCCTTTTTAAGGTTGAATAATATTCCATTGTATGTATGTATGTATGTGTATACATATACACACACTACATTTTATTTATCCATTCATCTGTTGATGGACACTTAGGTTATTTCTACCTTTTGGCTAGTGTGAATAATGCTGCATGCACATTGGTATACAAATATCTGCTTGAATCCCTACTTTTGGTTCTTTTCGCTATATACCTAGGAGTGGAATTACTGGATCATATGGTAATACCATGTCTAATTTTTTGAAGCACCACCAGACTTTTCCCACAGTGGCTACACCATTTTACATTCCATCCAGCAATGTATGAAGGTTCCAATTTCTCAACATCCTCACCAACACTTGTTATTTTCCTGTTTTTAGCAATAGCCATCCTAATGTATGTGAAGTGGTGTCTTGTGGTTTTGATTTGCATTTCCTTTATAGCCAATAATGTTGAGTATCTTTTCATGTGCTTATTGGCCATTTGTTTATCTTCTTTGGAGAAATATCTATTTGAGTTCTTTTCTTTTTTTAAAATTAGGCTTTTTTTTGGTTGTTGTTTTGAGTGGTAGGAGTTTAGGCATGCTTTTTTTAAGTGAGGCTAAAAGTACGGTGTTGAAGTAGCCATTTTAGTTTCTATTCTGATTGTTGTTTGTACAGTATTTTAATTATGATCTATTGACAAATAACACTGGAATATTCAAAAGTATTCATAACATATTAGTGTATTGGAAAGAGCACAGACTTCAATGTCAGACTAAGATTCAAATCTGGACTCACACTTAGCCATTGTGATCTTAATCAAGTTACTTAGCTGTGCCTCTAAAGAGGTATTATTTTGATGATTAAAAGATAATGAATCCATATAAAATACCTAGCAGAGTAATAAGTATTTAATGAATGGTGTCTTCTGCTGCTATTGCTATAATTATTCCTTAGCAAAAATACCTAGGCAAAATTTTCATTGTGAGGTGGAGGGCTTAACTTGGCTGTGCCTTTTTAAACACATCTCACCTTAACCTTAAAACTAATTAGCCTAAGCAAACTTACTCTTTTTATAACACTGCCTTAGTTAAGTGTTTGTCTCTTGATCACTAAAAATATAGATGGTTGAAAATCCTTGACTTACAGGATACCATGCTGTCAATATTCTTTGTCTGTTTTAGATAGTGCAGGAGGGGCTTTCTACATAGACATTATGGAATGCATCAGTTTTAGCTCTCCCTGGTCTGTAATACAGATAGATTAGATATTATACACCGGTTTTAGAAGTTGGTCAAAGAAAAGGAAATTAACTTCCCCAGCTTGTAAAAGAATCTTTTGAACCCCTGTCCTTTTTTTCTCTTCAGAGATGGTTAATCCCTATTATTAGGCTAGAGTTGTATCCATTGTATGTATACTTTGGTCTAAAACACTAGACTTAAAATACTTTAAAAGAAAATCACAGGACTTTGCTGAATAAATTATAAATTAGCTTCATCTGTGGCATTCTCTAAAAAGTGAAGTAAATTATTATTAATGGAGCCAATGACTTCTATTTATAACATTTCTAAAAGAGTTTGAATTTCTAATTTACTTCAGAGTTTATATATCTAAAAGAATTTTTAGTTTCCTTTTCCAAGAATCTGTTGTTTGAGTCTTAGTAACTGAAACCAGTGGCTTAGGAAAGCTACTCAGTCCACCTAAGATATACTGCAGCACTTCTCCAGTTCTTTCTAGGCATGCTTTTAGGTATGTTAAACTTCAGCATCTAGGTATGTTACTAGTAATAATATTTAATTAAGGTCACCACAAAAGCATGCTAGTTGGGATTTCTTGACATCTATAAGTTGGATATAAGATTTGGTTTTTATAACAAAGCAGATTAATGATTTAATTAATAGAAAATTTAAAATAAGATTGTTACTTTGATACAATTAATTTTTACTAATTAAGGGTTCTGTATCTTGCTTATGATTGGAAGAATTTGGTAATGAGGTATGTATTTTGTTTATTAGGTTGTCTATCAGGGACCTACTAAACCACGCATTTTTTGCTGAGGATACAGGACTGAGGGTGGAGTTAGCAGAGGAAGACGATTGTTCAAATTCCTCCCTGGCTTTAAGACTGTGGGTTGAAGACCCTAAAAAACTGAAAGGAAAACATAAAGACAATGAAGCTATTGAATTCAGTTTCAATTTAGAAACTGATACACCTGAGGAAGTAGCATATGAAATGGTAAGTGAAGCTACTGCTCTTCCCCCCACCCCTTATAGTATGAGGGTTAATTCCTTTCTTCTTCTCATTGCTTTCTTTCCTCTTATTTTCTCCTTTTCTTTATTTAAATTGTTATTTTATTTTAATATGTATCTTTACAGCATAGTAAATCAACTTTGTATGTATAGATATAAAGAATGATAAAAACGCTACCTTTGTTAGGAAATAAAACACTACTGTACCTTAGAAGCCACCTGTGTGCCCCTCGCAGTTGCATTCCCCTCCGTTGTCACCACAGGAATATCTACTCTGACTTTTGTGTTACTCATTCCTTTGCTTTTCATTATAGTTTACCTAAGTAATATACTGTTTTGCTTTGAAAACCTGAGTGGCGAGCACACACCTAGCTGGTGACTGAAGTTACTTTTAGGTGAAGATGCCCAGGAGAGGATAAGCTGAGCAGAGTCTCTCAGTCGTAGTCTGACTTCAGCTTCCCTAGGAGTTTACTAGAGTTGCATCTGGGCAACTCAGTGGGTGAGGTCATCTGTGAGTCCAGGGAAATACACAGCTCACCACAGTCAGGGCACCAGGGCTGCTATGTGGACCAGAAATGAGTTGTCTGGTAAAGATATGGATTGATGGGAAGTGGTCCCCTCTGACTTCTCTACTTCTAATCTCCCCATGACCAGCCCCCGCACCCCCCCCCCTGCCACCCCCGCAAGAGTAAATGGCAGCAGATAACTTCTGTGGGCTGGAATGCGTGTCCACACCTGATCCAGGCTGCTGCCCTGCTTCAGGGGAGGGCATGTAGGAGCTTCGGCAGCACGTGGTTAAGATTAGCCAAGTACAGTTACTCTGAGCCAGGCCCACCTGGCCATTCTTCCTTAGTTTAAAAAGAAAGATAAGGCAGTGACAGTGGGGATCTGGGTGATGATAGCTTTTAACATGTTTGTCTTTCCAGTCACATTATTCTAATCTGAATGACTGTCTTAGACATTTGGTGCACAACTCTCATCCTGGTATTTCCCTTTACTGTCTTCCTAGACTTCTCTGCCTCTCTCCTGTATTGGATTTCATGTTTCCTAAATCCCATGTCTTTCTCTTTCTTGGCTTACCCTTTTGTTTTAGTGGCACACTTCCTCTGCTAGCTTCTTAAGAAAGGGTATAAGGGAGGTATATTCTTTGATACTTGCATGTATGAAAATATTTTTATTCTGCTTTCATATTTAATTGATTATTTGGCTGACTAAGTCATTTTAGGTTGGCTTTTTAAAAAAAATTTAGACTCATTTCTCCATGCTTTTCTAGCTTTCAGTATTGATATTGAAAAGTGCTAAGTTGTTCTATTTTCTGGATCTTTTGCATGTGATCCATTTTTTTCCTCTTTGGAAGCTTGTAATAGCTTCTCTTTCTTCTCTGTATTTTAAAATTTTACAGTGATGTGTCATGATTTGGGTCTATTTTCATGTACTGTGTTGGATACTCAGTGGACCCTTCCAATCTGTCAACTTGTGTCCTTTAGTTTCTGGGAAATTTCTTGAAGGGTTTTATTGATGATTTCTTCCTCTTTGTTTTCTCTTTCTGGAACTGCTGTTATTTGGATGTTGGACCTCTTGGACTGTTTCTCCAATGTTCTTATCTTTTCCGTTTTCCATCTTTATGTCTTTATATTCTCCTTTCTGGTGGATACTATCGATTTTATCTTCTAACCCTTCCACTGAGGATTTTTTATTTTTATTTTTATTTGTTGCTGAGGAAGATTTGCCCTGAGCTAACATCTGCTGCCAATCTTCCTCTTTTTGTATGTGAGCCACCACCACAGCATGGCCACTAACAGACGAGTGGTGTAGGTCCGTGCCCGGGAGCTGAACTCGGGCCACCAAAGTGGAGCTTGCCGAACTTAACCACTAGACCACCAGGGCTGACCTCCATTGAGTTTTTTATTTCTGTTATCATGTTTTTAATTTCAAGAGTTCCTTTTCATTTTTCGATCTGTTTCTGTTTAGAGTAAACATCTTCTTTGTTTTGTGGATGTAATATTATCACACCTCCCTGTAATGTTAGTAAAGACTGTTTTTGACATTTTTTCTTTTTGCCTACTCTCTTTTCTGTTGTTCCTTTATTGGTTTTGTGCTCCGTCTTCTTGTTAGTGCCTTTTCTCATATTTCTGGTATTTCTTGGCCAGATGCTCATGCTTAAGATTGTATTAGTTTTCTATTCCTGTGTAACAAATTACCACAAATTAGTGGCTTAAAATAGCACCCATTTATTCTCTCAGTTCTGTAGGTCAGAAGTCCTGGTGAGCTTTGCTGGATTCTCTGCTGAGGGTCTCACAGGCTGGAATCAAGGTGTCGGTGGCCTGGGCTCTTATCTGAAGGCTCTGGAGGAGAATCTACTTTCAGTTTCATCCAGGTTGTTGGCATGGAATTCACTTCCATGCAGTTCTAAGACTAAGGTCCCCGTTTCCCTGCTGGCTGTTAGCCAGGGGTCACTTTCAGCAACTAGGGGCTGCTCTTCAGTCCTTTCATGTGCCCCTACTCCATCTTCAAAGTCAGCAATGGCATGTCGAATCCTTCTAGTATCAACAGCTAGTAAAAGGCTCACCTAGATAATCTCCCTATCTTAAGGTCAACAGTGTATAGCACAATAATGTGAGTGATATCTCATCATATTCACAGGTTTGAGGATTAGGATAGGATGTCTTTGTGGAGGCCATAATTTTGCCTACCACAGGGACTAACAAGCTAATTTGACAGTATGATTGCTTGCATTGAACTTGTTAACTTTGACCTCTCCTGTAGGGTATCTGAGTGGGCCATTAATTGGGGAATCTGTGACATCAATATTTGTAGGTCTTTCTACTTGGATTGACCAGATTCCCCAGAGAATCATCTTTCAATGTCCTTCCTGGAGGGTAAGGGTGTGGTTACTGGTATCTTGGTAGCCAAGTGGAGAAGAGGGCTGGAGGTTTCTGCATATGGCGTTCAGCATGCATATGGTCATTTAATCTTCTTGTTTTCCACATAGTACCATACCCTCAACTGTGCCTGGTGTTTCATAGTCCAGAGATGCTTTCTTTTACCCTCTCTGGAGAACAAAACTCTAGACCTTCTTGGTTAGGGGAGAAGCAATCTCCCAAAGGTGTGGACCAGAGTGTGGGGCACAGGAACTTTAAATATCTGATTACTTCTCAAAACCCTTTCACTTAGTCTTCCTTATGTTAGTCATCTCTTTTGACTTTACCCAGTTCTAGAAGTACCTGGTGCTGCCAGTCCCTGTGCCTTATGAGTATTCTTCAGTATAAATGGGAATGATTCTCAGCTTTCCCTGGTTCCCCTTTTTGGGTCCACTAGGTCAGTTATTACTTACCTGTTTGTTTTCCATAGTCCAAAGTGTTGTTGCTATTGTCTTTCTCTTATTCTTCCTGTCCTTGTGGGTTTATAACTTAAAATCCATTTAATATGGGGTTTTTTTTGAGCTTTGGGAGGGAGTAAAATTGAATGCGTGGACTTTGTCTAACATTTTAATCATTTTTCAACTACCATGAAATTTCCCCAAGTCTGCAGATCCCTAAGACATGCTTTAAAAAGCAGATGGTAGAGCTGAGAATGATATGCCATGGCACCTCCTCAAGTCGTTTTCTCTGCTACTCAGCCCTGTTCCTCTCAAGCAACAAGACCTTAACTTCTCTTACTCTTCTAATGCCTAGTAAGATGTAGTACTTTGCTATGAGCCTACTTCCCTCTGCCTGGAGCATTGATCTCTAAACTTCATTTATACCTTCCTCAATAGCCTGCAGGATCCTTTTTTTGTTTTATTCCAGGTCAGAGTTTACACTTCTACTTCCTCCAGAGAGCGTGTACTCCTTTAGGGCTTTTGCAGCAGTTCATTTCCACCTCTTATTTCATTTTAAGTTAAGTTTGTATCCCTCTCTCACTACCAGATTGTGTGCTCTTACAGGACAAAGGACCAATGCAGTCAACTTATATGCCTCTGGAGGCCAGTACTGGGCACAGTGTAGGCACTTAATGTTTTTGATTTAAGGAAACTTTTCTAATCTTGCACAGAACTTAACGGCAGCCATAAATTACCTGTAATAAGACTGCATGTACTGAAACATCAAGTTATTTGTTTTTGATTAAAGTCAGAATTATTTCAACAACACTTGGTAATAGTATTATTTTTCTTATGCTGATTAAAGGCTCTGGCATTTATGTATGTCTGATTAAGAAAGAATATAGAAACAAATGAACTGTTATTTCATAACATTTGGAATTTTGTTTTTTTGAAATTATTTTATTGAGCTAGTATTGGCTCATAACATTGTGTAAACTTCAGGTGTACATTATTATGTTTCAGTTTCTGCATAGACTGCATCATATTCACCACCAAAAATCTAGTTTATATCTGTCACCATACATATGTGCCCCCTTACCCCTTTTGTCCTTCCACCCCCTGACCCCTCTGGTAACCACAAATCCGTTCTCTGTATCTATGTATTTGTTTGTTTATCTTCCACATATCAGTGAAGTCACATGGTATTTGTCTTTCTCTGTCTGACTTATTTCTGTCTTGAATTTTGGGGCACAAAATAACTCTACTAGTAAAAAAAAGTTAAAATTTTAAATGTTAAAGATGTAGTTTGCTTATTATGAGTTTTTTTTTTGTAGGTCAAGTCAGGATTCTTCCATGAAAGTGATTCCAAAGCTGTGGCTAAGTCCATTAGAGATAGGGTGACCCTGATAAAGAAGACCAGGGAGAAGAAACCACCTGGCTGTTTCGAAGAACGCAGGGATTCCCAGTGCAAATCTGTAGGGAATATACTCCCTCAGCACCAGAATACAACTTTGCCTCCTGCTCCTGCTCAGCACACCGGGGCTGAATGTGAAGAAACTGAGGTTGATCAACATGTTCGACAACAGCTTCTACGAGGAAAACCACAGCAGCACTCCTCTTCTGTTACAGGTAACACAGTTACAACTTATAAAAGCAAAACGATGTGTAATTGTATTCACTTATTTTTAAATAGTACTTTCATATTTTTCAAAGCATTCTGTTATCTCTCATTTCATCAATCTTTTTACAAAATCTCTGAAATAGACAAGCCAGCTAGTTTGCTTATTTTGAAATTAAGAAACTGTTCTAAGTGACTTGTCCAAGGTACTAGTTGAGTAAGGGTTATAATCTTTTTACCATTTTTAAGGATCTAACATAAATCCTTTAATAGAGAAAATTTGGGGCTAAAGATGTAATTTATTCTTCAAGAAGGAATTTTCCAGACTTGAAGACCCTTTGTATATTAGACTCAAGTATAAAATTAACAGTTACTCTAATTTTTTTGCTGTAGTGCATTCTCTTCTCTAGAAGGACATAGTATTTTCACAGTAATAACCAATTGCTCTATAAAGACAGTATTATTTTCTAGGCAGGTTCTAGGAGAATGAGAATATGACACTTAGATTTTACTGAAATCCTAATGACTAGTATAGATTAGTTTGGGGTATACATGAAATGGCCAGCAAATGGAGTTGATTTTTATGTAATTCTTTGTTTTTAGGTCTGTTTTACTAAGAAAATTTTAGTTATACTACAGTGTCAGCACGGAGAGTTTACATGATGGTTTTTGATTAATTGTGCAGTGTACACATTTTATTTGAGGCTGTCTCAGGTTGGGAGAGTTAAAAAAAAAATTAAAGAAACACTTAGCATTTCCTATGCCATTTGAACCTTGTGCTTCGAGTTTTCCCTTCTACCTGTTGCTTATTTTCTTTGTCGTAGGTGACAGTTTGTCCGAGGCAGGAGCTGGATCAGTTAAACACTCAGATACTTCAAGTCAGCCCAATATAGCCTATTCCTCAGACCAGATGATGGGCTCTCAAATGGTTTCTAACATCCCACAGGCTGAAATAAATGTTCCAGGGAAAATTTATCCATCCCAGCAGCTAGTAGGACATTACCAGCAGATTTCAGGGGTGAGGTGAACTGTTGTATTTTTAAATATATAATCAGTATTTTTATTGTAAATGGGAGGGTTTATCTTTAATCTTTTTTTTTCTTGGTTAACAGTTGCAGAAGCAGCCCAAGCTGACTCAGCCCCCAATTTTGCCTTTGGTTCAAGGTCAGTCCACTGTTTTGCCTGTACATGTCCTTGGACCTCCAGTTGTCTCTCAACCCCAGGTTTCCCCATTAACTGTCCAGAAGGTGTCACAGGTAAAGGTAAGATACATTTTAAAGGCTTTATATTCAGTTAAACATATTTAACACTGCCTAGATTTTCTGACAGGCAAAGGCTCTCTTTCATAAATTCATCATAGTTTATATAAAAGTCACTGAAACCTAAAAGTTGTTTATGCTTTCCTTCAGCTAAGACATTCTTCTTAAGGATGTGCCTAATTTGTGTAACTAGAATCTTGAGACACTGCTTATGTAATTGGAAAAGAAACTGAGAACTCAGCATGTGGATTAAAAAATTTTTATTTAGGACTTAGATCTTTTTCTCTTTGTAATGATGGTTTGTTCTTTGTATTGAACTTTTCTAGCCTGGTTTGAATGTAGAGAGATGTCTTTTGAAATTACTTAGAAATAGTATTTAATAGACTCTTATAATTTTTAGCACCTTCATCTAAATTCTGGACTTTTTTTTTTTATTTATGTTTATATCTGTAGGAGAAACAAATGTTTTTGTCTTTTAGACTCTCAAAGTCAGAGTTACTCATTTCTGACAATGAGTAAACAGTCTTTGTGAGAGTTCATATATCAAGACTATATCCTGGTTCCCTGGGTTATGGACTCTGGACACATGGTTGGGGTTTTCTTTACCATCACCCCGTTTTCTTTCCTCAACCCTACCATCCTCTATGTATGCCTTCTCACTTTGGGAATGAGATGGTCTGAGCTCCTAGGCATTCTCTATATATGGCTTAGTGAGCAGCTGGCACATCTGTTTCTTTAAGACATTGGTATATAGTCAGTCACAGTTCATCAACAAACTGTTAATGACCACTATCTCTGGGGATATAAAATAAAATAAAATATGGTCTGTGTCCTCAAGGAGCTCACAGTCTTGTAGGGGAAAGCATACATGTACTTGACAAATGTCAGATGCATTTAAAATCTTCTAGGGGTAGATTTAATCTGATGTAGTTGACAGTGCCTGGTATTTGGCTCGTGTTTGTAGGTGATATGGTACATAATTTGTAATTGAGCTCATGTTCTGGTTTGATTTGTCTATTTCTAAGAGTATCATGCAAAACTTGTTGAATGGATGCTTAAATTAACTTAGGTTCAACCACATAAGTATATGGGTATGTATGTTTTAAAATGTGTTTCCAAAATTTTTAAAAAGTTTAAAAAATTATTGTAAAAGTATTATTTACTGTTTTAAAAATAAAGCCCATAAAGTTATAAAGGAGACAGTGAAAAATCACCTGTTATCTCTCTAGCTAGAACCAACTGATTGTTTACATTTGGGAGTAGAGCCTCTAGATTTGTCTCTTTTTCATATATACATATATAATTTTGTTTATATATACATATGTATATCACATACGTACTATTTTGTAGCCTGCCTTTTTCATCTAATCTATAGAAGCTACATAAGCAAGCACTTTGAACATTGAGGTCTTTTTATGAGCGTGGTTGTTCAAATTCTAGGAATTATTGCAGCCATCCTGTATTTATTTCAGTCATTTCTCTCCTCTCCTCTTAAGAGAGCTTCTATGTTCATTTTAGCTATGATATTGAAATGCTTTGGAGCTTTTTCTCGGGACTTCCACTGTCTGTGTGTGAAGGTGTCAGATTCAGTTACTCTAAATCTCTGCCAGGGTTTGAATGAGTTATGTGGCAAGTGTGATAAATGAGAAGCCATGAGCAGTGTACTGCTGGGACTGGTCTCAGCCCCTTAGTATATTCAACTAGCATTTCCTCATGGTATTAGGATTTTTATAGGACTAATGCTATACCCAGCAACTTTTTGATCACTTGCTGAAGTTTTTAGAACATAGCATTATTTTATCTATCATTCTGTCTCGGACAGCACCATTAAAATGGGCATGGTATATGCCTTTATAATTTGAATTTTCCTTGCACCAGTACCAGGAACTACAGCTGACCTTTGGAGCAGATGGACAAACTTCAGCCCAACCTGTGGCTTTAGACTTGTCAGTTACTGGAGTTCCACAACCAGTCTTTTATGCAGTTTCTCCTCAGACATTGCTTGCTTCACAAATGACTTCCAAGCATCCAACAGTTGGTCTTCAACTTGAGCCTGGCTCTAAAAATGGGAATCAGGCATTATTAACCAAATCACCAGATGCCAGTCAGACTCCTAGTTTCTTACCAGCTAATCACCCTCTAGCTTTGTTGAATCATTCTTCTGCCCACTATGTGAGCAGTGTACAGAATGCTGCTGGACCAGCTCAGCTCCCTTCTAATTCCATTGGGAAGCATTCAGGGGCCCACCAGCCTTCACAAAAAGTTGCATTCAGTATCACAGACTTACCCAGTGGTACATCAGGAGTCTATAACTCCAGGTTCTTCAGTGCCACAAAGTCAGACAGTGCATTTGAAGAAGCCTTATTTCCAAGCCTCTATTCAGCAACAGCCATTTATTTTACAACCTAAGATTATGGCATCGCCACAGAAAAATGTTCAGCAGGATTGTATTCTAGGGTCTGAAGCTCATGCAAGTCGGCAGCAGCTAAAGAGTGGTATTGAAAATGTGATTCAGCCCCTGCAACAGCCATCTTATTCTGTTCAACAAGCTTATCCAGGACTTCCTGCAGTACTGCCATCCTTGCCATTGAAGGTTCCTGAGCAGCTGCCCTTTGTGGTACATCTCCAAGAACAAGCTTCTTACCTATCACAGCTAACTTACCCAATCCACGCTCCAGCACAGCCTGTTTATTCACTGCCAGTCGCAGGGCATCCTCTTTACACTGTACAACCACTGGGATCACAGGCAACCTATTCTATGCAGACTTCTTATTCAGTCCCACCTGTGGTACAGCCCTCTTATTTGCCTCCAACCCAAGGGCAGCCTACTGGTCCAGTGCAACCGCTGGTTCAGTCACCTTTTCCAGATCAACCAGCATATATGATCCAAGCAGCTTACCCTGTGCAACCTACGGAACAGCCTGCTTACCAGGCAGTACCTCTTGAGCAAGCCTCTTATTCAGGACAAACTGCTTACGCCATCCAGACGCCAGCCAACTGAACAGGCAGCCTTCATAACCCAGCAAATATACACAGTAAACCCTCCTGATAGCAAGCAAGTACATATTACAAACTCTGTAGGTCAGAAGTTATACTCAGTATCACCTTATGTAGCACAAAGTTCTGAACAACAGGGCTATTTAACACAACCCCAAGTTAGTAATTTTTCAATTTTGGAACAAAAGACATATTTAACATCAACCTTAGATACACAGACACATTCTACTGACCCTTTATTTAATGTCCAGCATTCAGCTGCTCCATCCCAAGCTGATGTCAGTTTGCTAAAAGCCCAGTCAACTAGCATTACATCTCAGAGGGCCATGGAAGGACAGCTTCAACACCCTGCACAGATGTCCTTCGTTCAGCAAGTCTCCTCACAGGCCCAGATCCAGCCCCCACACTTCTCAGCACAGTTTTCCCAATCACATCTAACACCAAGCCAGATTTCTCACTCAGCTTTCATTCAGCATCACCAGATGACTCATTCATCTCATAGACAAGCACAGAAAAGCCATCAGTTGTCTACTCAGGAAGGTCCCATAAATCAATAGCAGTCTTTGTATAGCCAACATGCTGTTTTCCAGCATCAGATACCTCATTCACAGGCACATAAGCAAGTTCAGCCATTATCAGGTATTCTAAAGGCCATTACAAACATGGTCCAGATTACACTCTGCAAGAACAGTTACAACCAGCAGCAATGGAACAACAATGTGTAATACAGCCTTTAGCCCAGCCTCCAGTGCTTCGGGCGTTAGACAGCAGTCAAACTTTTCCCCTTTAGATAAACCTAGCACAGCACCAGCCAGCATACATTCAGCAGCAGTCTGCTGTCCAGCCACACTGGCAGCAATCTTCTAGCTTAGTACTTGTTTCTGGGTCATCAGAAACACAATTACAACAGCAGACCCTCTATCAAAGCTCTAGGATAGCCCTTTCAAATCAACCGTCTTTTTCTATTCATCTGTCGACACTTAGTATTCCAGTACAGGCTTCCACTGCCTTTCAGAGCATGTCTGTGTTACAGACACAGCAGCATTTACAAAGCCAAGAAATTCCAAAGGTAAATCTTCCTGGGGGAAAAATGTAGATGATTGTGATTTTTCTGTAATGTTCAAAGGTCAGGGAGATAGTGAGCTATAGTGGAAATGGCACTGGACTGGGAGTCATAGTCCCTGTTCCTGGCTCTATTCCTTACCCACTGGGTGGCTTTGATTCAAGTCTCTTTGGAGTTTCTTCATCTGTAACTTGAAGGGATTAGACCAAATGATGAAAATAAAAAATATTTGAGCACCTGCTTGGGATATATCAGTAAAGAAAACCCAAAAATCCCTTTTTTCATTGATTTTGTTGCCTGATGGCAGGAGTCTGTCAATAAATAATAAAAAGAAAATTATATATACGGTACAAGGAGATCAGGGGCAATATGGAGCAGGGTCTGGAGGAGAGTGGGTTGCAATTTTAAATGAGGTGGTGATCAGGGTAGACCTCATTGAGAAGGTGACGTGTGAGCAAACACTTAAAGGAGGTGAGAGGGAGTCCGCAGTGCACATTCCAGGCAGAGGGAATAACCAGTGCAAATGCCCTGAGGAAGGAGTTTGTCTGGCTTGTTTGAAGAACAGCAAGGAGGCCAGTGTAGCTGTTAGTTCTAAAATATTAGGAGCCTATGGTTATCTTACTATTCTACATTTATAATAAAGCATTTGCCTTTATGGGATGATAATAATAAGCACTATTGAGTGCCAAATACTGTTCTAATGGCTTTATGTGTACTATCCTCATAACAACCCTATGAACAGTAGCTGTCATTACCCCCGTTTTACAGGTGAGGAAACCGAGGTTCAGTGAGGTAAAGTAACTTCCCTAGTGTCATACACCAGGGCCAGGATTTGAACCCACACTACCTGCAGAGGCTGTGCCCTTAATCATTACACCATTCAGTGTCTTTGTAAGATAGCTATCCTCCCTGATAGAATTAGAGAAAAAGAGCATGGTGACTT